TCTTGCTTCTTCTTCTTCTTCTTCTTCTTCTTCTTCTTCTTCTTCTTCTTCTTCTTCTTCTTCTTCTTCTTCTTCTTCGATGACAGCAGCTAGACAGTCAGCCCGATGTCGTGCGCAAACTGTGTAGTCCGCTTCAAATCTGAGAGATTGCCACAGAGCTTTCTCTCAAGGGGAGTCACATTCTGCCACGTCCGTGTACGAAGATAAGCGTAGCGCGGGCAGTACTGAAGGATATGGTTGGCATCCTCTTGGTCGTGTCCACATTCACAGATCGTGGACTCTCCCACTTTTAATTTAGTGTGCATATTGTGTTTGAGTCTGTTTTGGCCACAACGTAGTAGAAAGATTATGACCTGGTCTGCTCTATTTAGTATGTAGTAGGGGTCACGTCGGCAGTTGTGTTTAGGATGGGATTTTCCCCCTCTATTTCTTAAGGCAGATTTTATTAGTGTTTTTGACTCTGAGAGATCCATGCCATCTTCAATCTGGGTCATTTTGGCTCCTTCTTTAGCTAAGTCGTCTGCTTTTTCATTTCCATCAAGGCCACAGTGACCTGTTATCCACTGCAGAGTTGTGTTGGCTTGGGAGTTTAGATCACATAGGAGTGAAAGGAGTTGTCGTACATTGAGCTGATTGTGGCTTTTGGAGAGCTTGTAGGACACATTTGGCATCTGTGAGGACGACGGTGTTGGCTTTAGATTTTTGGTGATTCAAGAGAATGGTGGCTGCTGTTTCGAGTGCTGATGTTTTTGCTTTGTAATTGGAAGATAGAGATCCTGTGGGGATCGAATGGGTTTCTGATGACCGATCTATCCACTCTATGTAGATACCTCCACCGCCGTTTCTGACTGCATCAGTTGCTGATCCATCTGTGTAAACTCGACCATGCAATCAAAACAACTGATGCTATGGTGTGGTAGGCGACTTATAGCACTACAGACACAGTAATCAAAATTTTATTCGAAAGGAAAGGAACTGGGCGATGAAAAATAAACCGATACACAGGACACGAGTTATAAGTGCCTATGGCGTCATGTTGCATGCGAAGAACCACAAAGTGCTAAATTGACATGGATATAGAGATAAGCAGATAGACAGATATAGATAGATAGATAGATAGATAGATAGATAGATAGATAGATAGATAGATAGATA